TCCTCCTCCTCCTCCTCCTCCTCCTCCTCCTCCTCCTCCTCCTCCCCCTCCTCCCTAAGTGTACAGACAGCATCACATCACCTGGTTTGCTTCTGAGAAACAGCATCTCTCCTTTTCAGGGACCAGAGACTCAGAGAGAGGAGACATTCTAATGGAGTCTGCTTGATACCCCAAAATAAAATAATAAATTTTGGCTCTTGTCCCCTCCTCCCACCCCACCCCCTCAGCCCTGTGTGAGATGTTGGGTTTCTTCTTCATGAGACATTGTTGAGAAGTCGCAGTGGTTGGAGAGCGTAGGGGGTAGACTACCTCTACTCCCCCCCCCTCTTTTTTCTCTCTGGGAGGAGGAGGAGGGGAAGGGGGCTTGCCGAGCAAGCGATGGATGAGGAAAACATGACGAAAAGCGAGGAGCAGCAGCCTCTGAGTTTGCAAAAAGCCTTACAGCAGTGCGAGTTGGTCCAAAACATGATAGACCTGAGCATCTCCAACCTGGAAGGGCTTAGGACCAAATGTGCCACCTCCAACGACCTCACACAAAAAGAGATCCGGACCCTGGAGGTAGGTGTCGCCTATGGGGGGAAAAGGCAATCTTTCCTTCCCGTTCCTTGCTCCCCACCACCCCCTTTCCTTTGATTCTGTTTGTTTGGTGGGGGGGGAGGGTGTGGGAGGGTGGCAGGGCGGGCACGATTTGGTTTTCTGTGATTTATCTTCTTTGCAAAGCCTGCACTGGATGTCCCTTGACTGTGCCGCTGTCATCTACGCTTGGCTGGATGTTGGTAGTAGTAGTAGTAATTGTTATTCTTTATGTATTATTATTCCTGCGGCTGTTATTATCATTTGTTTCCTCTCCGAGGAGTGAGTTCTCTCTTTTTTCCGCTTGTGGATTTGTTTATATGCCACGGGGGCTTGTGTGCTGGGTAAGACATTAAGGCGCTGCAGAGAACCCACGTGACCTTGCGCATTCTGCAGGTGGTCAAAAGGTGGTTTTTGCTCCCAGAACGGGGCTGCCTATAAATGTAGACCTCTTCTGCTCTGGGCCTCCTTCGCAACTCCGCGATTGCTCCTTGGAATTTGTTTTTGTTTTTGTTTTTGTTTTATTTCAGTGATATACATGTCAGGAGGCAAGATGCATTAAAAAAAAAAAAATCCCCTTTGAGCTACCCGTTTCCAAATCAAATCGTTTGATGCAGGGAGCTGTTGCAGGCCTGAAACGTGTAAAAAGATAACAAAAAAATATGCCTGGATCAGCACACACAAGTGGTGTAGGAAAATACTCTTGAATCTCCATAGGACGGTGAGGAGAGGGGTCGGAGGAGGAGTCATAGCTGGCGAGTTGTAACATTGTCTCCAACAGAACTTGAGGGGGAGTTTGAAGCAGTTTGGGGGGTGGGGTTCGATGCAAAGTTACTCAGAAAGAAGATGGCAGAATTTATTTCTTCCAAAGGCCATTTGGTCAAAGGAGGAAGGTTTCAAGAGCCGTAGAAAATGTCTGGTGTGCACGTAATCACTGGGCATCCACGTTTGTTGGAAACATCCGAAGGGTTCCACTCACTTCTCCTTCAAACCAGCTGTACACACGGCTTGATTAAATTTGGGAACTCCTATTAGCTGGCATTTGCTGAGGGTGGTGGCTGTGGGGCTGGAAGCAAAGTAAAGGGGTTCTCCCTCTGGCGAAGCAGGCATGTGCAGTGCTGGGGAGGTTCCCTGTTTCCAGCCCACGGGTTTCCAAGGCCTGAACTCTTCAGCCCCTACTGAATCTTGGAGCCCTGTGCCTGGGTTCCAGCACGGATGAGCACCGCTGTCTGATTTACTTTTAAGTCTTTTTTTTTTTCCTCCATGATTTTAACTTTGGTTGTCAGCACACAGAAAGGTCATCAGTTTGAAAGTGGAGTGTGTGTGTGTGTGTGTGTGTGTGTGTGTGTGTGTGTGTAATATGCTGTTTGCTACCCTAGAATGCATGTCTGTGTGCCCCTGTCATCTGGGAAAATTTATGTCTTGGTGTGAGCAGTGCCCAGGATAAGTTTCTGTTCAGAACTGCGGGTGGTGAGTAACTAAATAACTCAAAAGGGCCACCTGAGTTCTCTTCTGGCCCTTGGCGTCAGGAGTCCCAGGTGCTAGTTCATGTATTACTGTGCGCGTTTCTCCTGTTTTCTTTTCCTCTTTTCAATATACCTGATTCTCTGATAACTCCTTGATGATGGTGATGGTCACAGCGTATCCTGGACTCCATGGCTTCTTTTCTGCATAGAGGTTTTCTTTGCAAACTGGGGGATGGAGTTGCCAGAGGTTAGAGTTATTGGGAGTGCATCTGGGTGTTAGTTTCCTGGTTCTGGGATGCCACAGATCCCTGGTTTCCAGATTGCTCAGGGAAGGATCTCCAGCAGTCAGCCCAGCTTCTTGCTTCTCAGATCTCTGGGGCTGGGGTGGGGACACTGAGGAGGGGCTGAAGATCCCAGGTGCAGCCAAGTCCTGCCAAACCTCATCTAGGCTTTGGACCCGAGGGTTTTTTTTTTATCCCCCAAACTGTCACATTTTGTATGTTAAAACCATCTGAGGGAGCTCATTGAAAATGCACATTCTCAGCCTCTAACCCCAGAGACTCTAATTCAGGTGGGACTGACAGGAGGCCCAGGAATCTGTATTTCATAAACAGTCCAGGTGTTTCTGATGCATGTTTTCACATCGACACTTTGAAAAATACCAACATAATAGGAGATAGGTGGCATATTTCTGCTCTTTGATGGTAAGGTCTCCCTGCTCACAAACACTGGAGTAAGTAGTGAATTGAACAGACCATCCTGAAAACCGTGATAATAAGCAAAATTTAGTAGCATGCATATCACCCCATATACAGCATGGACTTAGCCTTCAAGATGTGTACTGCATGGTTAGGGAGACAAGGCTAATACTAATATATGTGTGAAATAATGATGAAATCCAAACAGCAAATAATATGGGAGACAGCATGTAGGTCCATTAGGAACGTGTTCAAGCTACACGAAATGGAAAATCCAAGCGCAGTTTTAAAGCAAATGATGGCTTCTTTTTCTTGTATCGCAAGAAGTATGGAGGTATATGGCTGCTTGAGTTGGGTCAGCAAGTTAGTAAGCTCGGGACCGTTGTCTCTTTGAGTTCTCAATGGCCTCTTCCTTTTGGTTGCAAGATGTCTCCTAAAGCTTTAGCTGTCTCACTCAGGTTCAAGGCAGGGAGGAGGGGGACCGGGCGAGGAGCAAGCAGGGATAAAGGGTTCATGTCTTTGTTTCGCTACCTACCCCACAGATGATGTTGAATTATGTCTTCTTGGCCAAAACTTGGTCAGATGGCCAGTCCTTGCCTCAATGCTGGGAGGTGGGGACGTGGGGACACCATGGTAAGTGGTTTAGATGAGTCATGGTCCATTGCCTGGGTTGACTGGTTGCCACCCCATGCATGCTGGCATGGAAGAAAGCATGAAGGGAACAACAAGGGCCATGGCATGTTATCAGGAGGTAGTCTAGCAGAGAACAAAGACCATGACCTTTGGAGTTACACAAGTAAAGTTGTAAATCGTAGCTTTTCTACTTACTTTATCTTGGGCTAGTGATTTAAATTTTCTGACCCATGGTTTAATTTTTGGCAAAGTGGCAATAAAAGAATAACATTACCTATTTCAGTAGTTATGAAGATCGAAAGGGAGGACATTTTCAAGGGCCTGGTGCCATTTGTAACACAGCGGCAGGAGCTGAATAATTGATAGTCATGATGATGATGGTGGTATGATTAACATTACGTGGTATGGAGTAGATGACATGGAAGGGAACAGCTCAGATCAGGGGTAGAAAGGGAAGAGTTTGAACAGCATTTCCGAAGTGTGTTCTGTGGGTCCCTTGGTCTGAGAAATTAGCATTTTTCATTCTTGCGGCGAGTACTGAAATCCGGGCCCTGTACTACATGCTGGTGGTCAACAGGTACTCTGTAGACAAAACGAATTCCTTGGAGAATTTGGCAAAGGTTGAGCTAAACAAAGGGAAACAGGCATCTTGACTGCAGAGACTTCTCAGAGCCGTTAACGATATCATCTATGTGCACGGTGACTCCGAGAGAGCGTGGAGTCTGCGGTGTTTCCTTTTTCCAAGGATATCCCTTGGGATTGATGTTCCATAGAATACACCCAGGGAAATATTTGGCAAAGCAGTTAGGGTAGCTCTCTTGGTTGGGGAGCTGGGGACCCTGAGCGCAGAGAAGGATGGGGAGAGCTGGCAGGTGGAGAGAGCTCGCTCAGCAAGAACAGCTAACCAGATAAAGGTATTTCATACCAGTTCATGCCTTCGTGGGGCAGCTGAGAGACCAGTTGGTCTAGAATGGAGAGTACCTGATAGAATGTCATAGGAAATGAATTTAGGTCACAGACTCTTGAGATCTGACTAAGGACAAGGGAGCCAGGCTGACAAAGTTTCACTCCTTTGAGGAAGGAGATAGAAGTCTTCAAAGGTTTTGGAGTGAACACAATAAAAAGTTGTTTAAAGGTTAGCCTGCCAGCAGCCTGCAGCAAGGGCCAGCAAACTCTTTCTGTAAAGGGACAGGTAGTAAATAGTTTAGGCTTTGTGGGTCATACAGACTCCATCACAGCCTCTCAGCTCTGCCGTTGTAGCACGTAGCAGCCGCAGATGGACAGTTTTCCACTGCAGCTTCATTTATGGCCCCTGAAATTGAAATGCGATGTAATTTTCACATGTCACGAAATACTATTACCCCCCACCCCCCCTTTTTTTACGTTTAAAAATGTAAAAACTATTCTTAGGTTGTGGGGCCTTATGAAAACAGGTGGTGGGTCAGATTTGGCCCAAGGGCTAGCTTCCTGATCTCTGACCTCTAGGGTGGATGATGCGGTTCTGCTGATCTTGCCCACATCACTCATGTGGTTGTGTGATCATCAGATGGCTCAGCTGGGCTGGATGGCCCAAGGTGGCCTAGCTCACATGGCTGGTGGTTGGTGGGGGGATGTCAGTTTTTCTGTACATGGCTTTCCAACAGGACAGCTGGATTCCTTACCTCGTGGAAGCAGCCATGTTCCAAGAGAACAAGCCCCTTTGCACAGCCCCTCTGAGGCCTCTGCTTCTGTAACCTTTGCCAGTGTCCCATATGCCAAAGCACATTAAGTGGATAAGCCCAAAATCAATGTGGAAATGACTGTCTAAGGGTATGGATTCTAGGAGGTGTGGTTCATCGGAAGCCAATGAACAATCTCCTATAATAATGTAACAGCTATGGAAGAAAAAAAAAAACCCAAACCCCAAAATAAAACCAAAATAAAACCAAACGGTCATGGGATGGTCAGCAGAGGCCCCCTTGAGGTTTTACTGACTTGAGGAAGCAAACCAAGACGTATCTGGGGAAGGGACCAGGCAGAGGGAAGAGCAAATTTCTTGGGTGGGAACGTCCTTGGAGTGTCGTTAGAGCAGCAAGCAGACCACTGTGGTTGGAGTTGAGTGGGTGGACGGGCAAGGGGTGAGGGACACAGTGGGAGACAGAATCAGGGCCCTGGTGATAGAGAGCTTTGAGAAGATACTTGGATTTTG